ATTTTGCGTTTGTCGTGGTTTGTCCTCAGTATTGTGGCAGTGACTTTTTCGATTGCCGTCAGGTTGTTTCAGGCGCCCTGAATCGCCGACGGGGAAAACGCCGCCCTTGTGGTCCAGTGAGGTGGATTCGAGGTGAAGTATTCGTATCGTAAAGAAACAGAAGCTCCCAGATACGACTACTGCATCGCAGTAACGGTGGAGATGCTCTGACTCCGACAGTCTCTGTCAGTCTTGGTTGACCATGCCAGTGCAGACAAACATTGGATGACGTTGGATGCGTATTGGGCTTCCCGCACCAGCCCGTTGAGGTGAAGTGAGGGGACGGGTGTGGAAGCCAAAGAAGCATTCGTAGGCTAACGCAAGGTGGTGTATCTTAGGATGCTGTGACGCCGTGCTTGGGCAGAATGTCAATGGGCGTAGATGATAGCGCGTGTCGATTGGTAGCGTACACAGTACGACGTTGCCGGTCGGCTGGGGGTGCCAGGGCTTTCTTCAATCACTCAGCAGGTGAGTTAGAAAGGAAGGTTAGTTACGGGTACCATAGGATGCGCCACGATGGACTCCGGAGTAAGATGATTACCTACTGTGGTATTGTAAGTATCCGTAGGGGTCCGGGGGAGGGTTGAGGGTGGCGTGGGCGATTTTGGGTTTGGATGTCCTGCATGGTGACGATCAATGAGCGACGAGCATCCCGACCTTGAAGCGTCGAGAACGTGGTTGTGTCGAAAATTTGTTACTTTTGGTCAGCCTGAGCCTGCGTATCCATACTCGTGCCCGCCCCCACTTTTTTGGGCATTCGGGACTCATCACCCACTAAAGTGGGTGCTTTTCAGCCAAACGGCCACGTCAGCTATACGGGCATAATTATTATAATTTATCTCTATATATTACTACTTCTATTACTTTCTATTATAATACTTAAATTTAATACTACTAAAGAGGAGCGTATATAAGTAGCTATTATAGCTATTTATAAAGACCTAGAGTTATTAATTATAGTAGTAGCTCGGTAATACTCTATTCTATGCTAGAAGCTTAGTTAGAAGATTTTTAATAAATACTCGTTAAAAGAGCGTACTAGCTACGGCTATAAGCTTACTTAGGACTAAAAAAAAGCGATTTATAATTATATTAACCGTTTAGACCGAATTAACTTACTCATAAAGTACGAGCTAGTTATTAGTACTACTAATTATTTACTTACCGAGTTATAGGACTTAGTAGATATTAATAATACTAAGGACCTATCTCCTCTTCTAATTATTAACTCCTAATAGGCTAGTTGATTTATTAAGAAGTATAATTACTTTCTAATTAAAAAGAAAGTACTAAATACTAAGCGGCGCAAATTTAAAAATAAGAATATTATTAACTCTTATTTTTTTAAGTTAAAAGAGGTCGTTGACGAGTATAGGATCTAGCTTTTTAATATATAGAATATAGACGAGACTAGATTCTAAATAGGGGTTAGGAAATTTAGTATAGTTATTACGAAGAAAAGAAGGGCCTATTACTTTGCTTTTCTAACTAATAGAGAGTCTACTACTACTATAAAAGCTATTTCTATTATTAGAGATTACGTACTAACTTTTTTAATTTTTAGTAACTCTATTTATATAGCTAGGTAGTATAGCGTTAAAGAGCTCGAATCTAATACTATTATAGGAGTCTTATTTACTAGCTATATAAATAATATAATAATTTTAGATTAGATTAAGTACTTCGATATATATATAAAGGGTCGAACTAGGAGAGCTAAGAGACTACTACTTATAAATAGGTATAGATCTTATTATATTATTAAGTTTATTAAGTACTATAATAAATACGATATTATCCTATTTAGATTTCTATTATATAGTATATATATTTTTTAACCTCTCGATATTATAGTTTTCTAGCCCCTTAAGTACTATTACACTAAAGTACTCGACTTCGTAGTTCGAGAAGGCTATACTAATATTATTAAATTAGAATTCCTCGGCTTTATATAGTCTATTTATAAAGAGGTATTTAAATATTTTATAATTCTTTTAGTATTTAAAAAGATAGGTATTTACTTATATAATTTATAAATTGTATTTAAAAAGATCCGTAATTATAATTACGATTCTTAATTAACTATACTACCTTTTTAGGGGCTAGGTTCCTTATTATTTACTATACTTATAACTATTTAAAAACTTTGCTACGTTACTTAGTATTTATAAGAGGATATAAATACCCTTAATAAAGAGATTTAATACTTAATTAGTGAGGCTTTTTTATTTAAGCGGAATTTTGAGTAGTTTGTTTATAGAGTATTTATATAAGGCTCTGAGCTCTTTTAAATAAAAAGAGACCTCGGCCTAACTTAGCTAGTTTAATAAGTAAGTAGAGCCCGTAAGTAGGGTAAGAATAGTTAGCTATAGACTAAAGGAATTATTATAATAAAGGATAGTTAACGTATAGTTAAACGGAGGTAAGTATTTAAAATTATTAAAGTGGTAGCTCTTATTAAAGTAGTAAATATAAAGATCTACTTAGTTATTAAAAAAGGGGTTTTTAAAGTAGGAAAAAAAGCTAAGAAGATGAGGAATACTAGCTAGTTTTAGCTTATATACGTAATTAACGGTCTAGATAATGGGCGGCTATTAAAAAGGGGGTAGTCGAGGCTTATATATAATGGTGTATAATCGACGATTATCTGCCCGTTTAGCTGAGGAGGCCGTTTGGCTGAAAAGCACCCACTTTAGTGGGTGATGAGTCCCGAATGCCCAAAAAAGTGGGGGCGGGCACGAGTAGGGTATATGGAGTAGCAGCGTTTGGTAAGTGGGTAAGATGGCAGCCAAAAAGGATGGAAGGGGAAATGAGGGGAGGGGCGGCAGGTGGCAGGATCAGTTCACAGGGCAGGAAGGAGCAGGGGGTGTGGTGGCTCTGCGTGGCAGCAACGTGACGCCGCCAAAGAAAGACGCGGGCCCATCTGGATCCACTGCGTGGCTGCAGGGAAGGTGCGGGCCCAAAACAGCTTGGCTTAGTGGGAAGGATCCCTGAGGCCACGCGCCGATCTGTTCGGCCTGATGGTGAGACTTTCCAGGTGCGACCCCATAAGCCCATGCCTCATTGGTGGATACCGGGTCTTGCAGTACGGTGCACCTCCGTATGGATAGCCCACCCGTCTCTTTCTACGTAGTATGCACGACGGCGTAGGTACCTAGTGCAGGTGATTTTCCAGTATGTATGTACCTTCCCCGTATACTTACAATTAGGTTGTACCTCAGAACACGCCGCGGACAAGGAACTCGAGGCAATGTCAACCATCGCATTGCCTCGAAGGAGTGGGAATAAACGGCGCAGACCCAGCAAATACACTTTCGTTCGCTACACTACTATCGCATGTAGTATTACAGAACCGGGGGAAATTTGAGGTACATCTGACATGAGGAACGTCAAGCGTCTGGTCACTGGTAGGCGCAGACTAAGGTACCTAAGGAAGTTACGCAGTAAAGTGCCGGTGGGATAAAGTGCGGAACGTACGGTTTTGTTCCAGATCCTGATCCCAGTTTTTCTTGTAGCTTATGTAATGAGGTGTTCAGGCACGCGCGGGCAGCAGAAATAACCTGGCACGTCCGACGCCTGGGAAGGAAAGAAACGGAGGCACAGAGAGACAACGGCGGCCGGCGGACGGGCAGTTGCTCCTGCCTGCCAGGCGTGCCAGGCTGCATTAAGCTTGTCTCTCTTCCTTTCCTTTTTTTTTTTTTCTCTCTCTCTCTCAATACGTTCTTCTTTCCTTTCCGCACCTCCCTGCATTCATGGGGGGCATGAGGTAAGTACTCGTTACCGCCTGCCTTCCACCGCCTCGCCACCTTGTACGTACTCGAGAGGCATCTTGCCTCGTACCCTTGCCATATCCACCTCTCTGCGATTTAGCCCACTCTCATTGGTCGATAGATCTGGGTACCTGCCTGGATCATCCAGCGACACATGGGAGCCATGAGATGGGAGCCACCCGGTTTTGTTTCTGCACGCCTCTTGTCGATTCTTTTCTTCTCTTATTCTCTTTTTTTGCCGAAGGAGTTTGTACACAGTGCCAGGAGTGCGAGCCCCCCGCTCTCGTGCAAGTACCTTCTTTCGCCCTCTTCCCAATCCTCAAGGGCCTCAACTCATTCCCACTCAATATCCACTTTGGCCCGTCCTCAAGCATCCAATTAACACTACAATCAGTAGCAGCATGGACTATCAATCGCGACCCTTTACGGTAACCCGACGGCGTCGTCAGCCAAAGACACTTCTCGTTCGCTCGCTCTCGCTGCGCAGCATGCGATCTCAGGTGCCCAAGTGGGCTGGCGGGCGCTGCACAGCGTATTCGCATCAAAACATCATCATCACCGCCTTTTCAACGTCCCCTCTAGGCCCTCCTCCTCCTACCCCCCCAGCCTCATCCACCAGTGGGGCTACCCGCCGCGCGACGTTTCCCATTTTCTGGATCCCGCTCCATGGAGTCTGGACGTGTTCGTCTACCCGCAATCAGTGTCCTCACTGTGCCAGCTAAATGAACGGTTTGTACGTAGGTAGTAGTGTATCTGCACACTGCAAGCCCGATATAGTCGAAGCTGTGGACTCTCTCGCTTCTTCGAAATACACGCTCATGTCCCGATTTCCAAGCCAGCCTAGCCTAGTCCCTTTTCTCAACCTAAGCTTTACGGATCATAAATGCACGTGTTTTCATCAACGCCTCCCTCTCTCTACTATCCCACGCCCCGCTCTTGTTCACAACTAAACAAACCAACCCTACGTTGTGTAGGTATTCCTATCGTGAGAAATAGGTTAGGGTGGGCTAGTATAGCACAACTTATCGGCCTTCGTGTTGCCACGCCGATCCTTACTGATTTCAATCATCGTCAATCATCAAGGCACTTTGCTTCCTGGAGCCGGCATGGCGGGAGTCATTAGAGTTCAGAACCAGATATCAGACGGCGAAAGAAACCGCACGTTGCCTGCCTGGTCGCTTACATAGTAATATGCCCGCGGCACCTCACACACCCTCTTGGCCATGTCTTCCGAAGGTGCCTACCTGGTTGACCTCTCTTAACCTCTCAACTTTCTTTGGTGTCTCTCAGACGTTGGCTGCCCCGCACGTGCTGTCTTGTGCCGTGCGTGCTTACGCAGTAGATCGCTCCCCTGGTCCCCTATCCGTCCACACACCCATCCAGTTCATCGGCATCTCAGACGCCCGTTTCCCGAGTATTCCCAAAGGCAGGAGGTGCCTTACCCGGGGGCCTAGGCCCTGTCCAAAGCCCTCTGACATCGGAGTAAGGCACATCAACATAAGATGGACGTCCAGTACATGGAGCGGCGGCGGCAGGCACCGACAGAGGTAGTGTGCCTTGTGGTCTTGGAAGCATGAAAGTTCCGACATCGCAAGGTCGTACGGGGTATGTAAATCGTACCATGTTGCGCCTCCTCCTGGCCTCCTGTGAAAGGGAACACATAGATGCATTGGCCTGCAGGTGATAACTCATTCACACATTGTCTTGGTGCATCTCAATGGCGATATGGATGCTGCATACTATAGGCTGCGATATAGTACCAGAGTCAAGCCCTATTGGGAAGCGGGAGAGGCTTTCTAATAATGCGCCACAGCCATAACCTTCTCAACAGCTGCTTGCGAACCCATTCCGGGATATATGTCGTCGACAACCTTTTTTTGGTCCAGCACATGATCGGCTTGTCCTTATCAGATTATGCTAAGGCCAAGTCTTTCCGGTCATGGGGAGAGAGGGAGTATCCGTACAGTTCGATTGGCAGGGCTCGATGGGTTGCGACACGCTCTGTAACACCGTACCTGCGAGGTATATCTGCCCTTTCTTTCTTTGTGGTTGCCCATAGGTATCCTTCCTGCGTTGCCTTTGGGGGCTGGATGCATGAGGAGTAAGGGTGAGGTATATGTATAGCAACCTCAGCGCACTTAGGCGCGACCGGATGTAATGACATAGCAGATGTTCTGCCCGTCGCATCCGATCAAACGGGAACCAAGCCGTGGCTACTCTCCGTACATGGTTCTTGTTGGAGTAGCACTAGTACATACAAACGGGCGAAAGAAAAAAAAAAGAAAAGAAAAGAAACGACAAAATGGCTTAGAAGGGAGACAACCGACAACGTCGCTCCTTGAATGGAACGACGAGAGTTGGACGGACGTGTCCCTGCGTCTCTTTTGATGCCTCGGCCATGCGTCCGTCTTCCGAATCGAAATATCGGAAGTCGATATCGGAAGACGGGAGGGAGAGAAACTCAGACTTACATGACAACATGTCAGTGGGCAGCAAAGATTGATACAAGAGAAGAGTAGAGCAGAATTATCGGATCTTGAGAAGTGTTCATGACTCTTTCGCATCTATATTCGTATTATACTCTCGTAGCTTGTCAGAGGAAAGGATAGAGTAAACAAGAAGAAAAAAAAGGAGGCAAATTAACGTCAAAACACCGAGCCCACTTCTTGTCAGAGACAGAAAGACGATGTGGGTTCGAGGGGGGATGACGGCGCCGACCAGGCAGACGGGATTTCTTGCTAGCAAAAGATTGATAATTGCTGATGTGATGTCGGTGCACGCAACGGCGGCGAGCCTTTTTTTTTTTTTTTTTACGACGGGCTACGGGAGCTAGAGGAGTGATCCACTTGGTCCGACGAGAGAACCAGCGGAATGTCCGCATCACATTGACCACATGGCATCTCCGTAAAGTCGGAGCTTCGTGACGTTTTTTACATCCCGCGCGAGGTTTTTTTCGCGTCTTTTCGGGGACATGTCCGTATTGCCAACTTAAACCATTTCTGGTAGTATACACCGCGGCTTGACCATCCCTAACTAATAGTTTCCGGCCCATAGATTGAACATGAACGATCGGTTGTTGAAGAAATCAAAAATAAATCATGTACTACACAGCCGCACGGCAATAGAAAAGACGGAAAGGCTCGCGGCTGTTCAAAGATTCACTCTTCCTCTCTGGCATCGTAGCCTTTTGGTAGTTCGCACTGTAGGCAACGGCTTTTGATGGAGCTAGGCGCGATGGAGGTTGAGGAACACCTGCATGGCTCCCTGTTCCCTACCCACCACAAGGAGGGTGGGGAGGGGGGGAGGAGAGCACATGATAATCCCTACCGACCTGTCCATCGTCGTCCATTCACGACCTCACCTTTTTTTCTTTCAACACGTTGAATACGGCTCCCCTTGCCCACCACCCCCATATACCTAGTAAAGGTACAGTACGTAGACATGGCCTGGCCATGGGTCCAGCCCCGATGGCCGCGAATCTCAGCACACCGCACATCTCTGATATCACAACGGAGCCTTTGTTTCTCTTCGAAAAGATGAGGTAAGGATGAGGGACAGGGTCACACATACACACAGCCAGGACAAGGAGCCCCAGGGAAAGAGGGATGGTCCGATGGATACCTACGGCATCGACCAGGGGTAAGGGAAGGCAAGGGAAGGGGGAGGACGGAGGGAGGGATTCAATACGGCGTGCGGCGGCGGCGCAATAGTCGGGAGTTCTGCAATAAGGCGAGGTGCGGTTGCGGTTGCGGTTGCGGCAGCGCGCGGCGAGATATGATAGAAATAATCCCTACGACATGCTGCGTAAGGCGTGACTGGGGTAAAGTAGCCAGCCAGCCAGCCAGCCAGCCAGAGAGCGGCAGCACCTTTTGGGTAGGGTGAGGTGTGATTGAGTGAGGAGTTGATGGGAATGGGAGGCGCCGTGCCTCATGGCGAAGGCGCAGGCAGGGCACATGGCAGAAAGTGAGGGGACCAGGTTCAGTTGGCCCCCCCTGGGCGTGGAGTTGAGGAAAATAAAGGGGGTGGGTGTTGAGCAAGGGTAAGGTATATAGCTTTGCGATGTGGCTAGGTACAGAGCACGATACTTCATTGCTCGCATGTGCATTCGGGAAGGTGACGTTGATTAGGTAGGCTATTGCTAGCTGTAAAAGCGAATATGAGAGTATGGATATGTGAGTAAGTGAGTGAGTGAATGAGTGGATGAGAGTGAGTGAAAGGGCTATATCTTTCGAGATGAGAGGATAAGAGGAGCTTTCATGTGAGAGTGAGAGTGAGAGTTGTCTCTCACCTCCGTCCTCCCTCACGCCGTCCCGGATAGTGAGGGGTGAAGAAGGAGCCACGGCATGTGTGCTTTCCAGAGGGGGGAGTGCGGTGGAATGGAGGAGTCCTTCCATTGGGGGCAGGGTCCCCACACGACACCTTTTTTCACTGCAATGGGCCGCCGTCCAGCGGGACTTGGTGGTGGATATCTCTCTCAACCGCTCCATTCATACTCCGTACCTTCTCGCTTTCACCTCTTTACGGTGCGATACGGATACAAAGCCTTTCATTACGGATGGAAACTAGAAACCGTTCAGATACAATGACGACAGTGTATGGTTCCACCTTGTCAACCGTTAGGGAAAGACAATTTTCCGGCGGGCAAAGGAAGTTCTGGAAACGACTGAAAGAAACAACCTCGCAATAGCAAGGTCTCATCATCGGGTTAATAAAATAATTATAATAAAAAAAGGTACCCTACAGGAACAGTGGGTTAGCGGGCGATGGATGGCGGCCGGTGAGAGACGACCACGGAGGACATGCATGCAGGCGGCACCACCATTATCAATCTGCCTCGTGGCAGCAACGAGCTCTATTCATCCGTGACGGGGGTCGCGGCATGGCTGGCCACACGGCATGGCTCCCGTCTTTTGGTTTGCGTTGGCGAAGAGCCTACCTTGCATGGCTATGGTTCTATCGAATGAGAAATGCAGACAGACAGCCCGTTCCGATGGCCCACCCGGTTCACTCACACACACACGGCAGCAAGTATGTATACGGATACAAGAGCGTTGCATTAGAGTATCAAAGAATGAATCTATGAGCACGACAAAACGTGTCGGGTCTGCCCATACAAGAGGGAAACAAGAAAGTTGGGCAAAATAAGAATAAAAACACGTTGAATGGCATTTCCCCCCAAGATTTCCACCTCTTTGCTCTTATTTCTACTCCGTACGGAGTACTCCTGCTCCTATTCCTGTTCCGTCCTGCACATCGTTCCCTACTTCTCTCGCCCGTCAGCTGCCGTGGCTCGCCCCTAAGAAAGATCGGGTTCGCTGGCTTCTCTTTTTTTCCCTCGCCCCTGGTCCATGTTTGAACCCGCGCCGGCCTGGCTGACTTCTCGTCCTGGGGTCTTCTTAGTCTCGTGGCTTCTTCACGTTTCGTCCACTCTTTCTTTCACCTGTTCGTGGGACTGGTTGCTGGACAAGTTCCGACCAAAGGGGGTAAACTCTCTCTCTCTCTCTTGCTCCCCAATCTTTCCCATCCCAGCTAAGTCAGCTAGTATCCCGTACCTCTGGACTCTAGATCAATCCATCGATCCATCAGTCAAACGCCCAAAATTGCCTCCACGAGTTCCACCCCCCGGTTTTATTTCATTTTCCCCGTTTTTTTTTTTTTCGTTTTTTTTGGTACTGCGTTACTCCATACGGCGTATCTTTCTTCTTTCTCGGTTTACCTTTCCCGAATCCTACGAGAACCTAGGGGCATGCAGACGCAGACGCCGACCCAGACGAGAGAGGAACCCAACAGAGATTGAGAAAGAGAGAGAGGGGAAAATTAGTTCACACAACCCGCAAGCCAATTTTCAGTCTAATCGAACTACCGCTGACTGCCCGTCCTATATCGTACGGGGCCGGCATAGTCGCAAAATATCAAACAGGACCCTATTCCGGTCCTGCTCTAGCCTCTTACCAGCAGCAAATCCCATACGGATACTTGGCTACCATACCAAAGGCGCATTATCCCCCCCCCCCTCCATCCACACACCACGGCGCACGCCAGCCAAGCGCAAACACCTAAAACCAAAGAGAAGGGGGAACCGTCAAGTCTCACGTTGCTGAGCCTCGGTCTCAAGTCTTCGCTCTTCCCGCCTCGTCTCCTTTCTTACGGAGATAGTCCCCCCCCCCCCCTTTTTTTTTCCCTTTCCCACCCCGGGCCTGGCCTTACCGTCCACACCTCAGACCTCACTCGCACACCTTGGACCTGGAACTACGGATACCGATTATTACCTACAGGCTACCTATACTACGGAGACATTGGCTGGCCTTACCTCACCTTACCTTACCTACTACACCTTGACCTTGACCCAGCACTTCCGTAAAACCTCGACCTAGAAAAAAAGGAGAAAGGGCACTCGCCAGATCAACCCCCTCGTTTCCCATCTACGGAGTACTCCATCCCAGCGTCAGCCACCACGCTTAACTTGTCACCATCCATACACCAATCCCAAATTCCTCGTGTTCTCCTCTCTGCGGTATCCGTACCTAGCACTGTGAAGGTGCTTGGATCGGGTTGCGAGGCTGGCTTATTGCCATTTGCTACACCTGTTATTCCCGTCTCATCTCTCAGACTCTCACACACATACCTACCTACGCGCGCATCATCCGCATCGTCCACTTTACCTCGTCGGCCTTCTTTCTGAGGGGCCGTCTCCTGCTCCTGCTCCTGCTCCTGCTCCTGCTCCTGCTCGCCTCGGTTTGTCCCCTTGGCCCGCCGTCGTCCTTTTCGCACATCACCGTCGCCAAAAAACTCATCCGTCGTCCGCGCCCGCCCGCGCCGCCGCCCCGTCCGTTCCACTACACACTGGGCTGGCACACATAACACACATGTCACCAAGCGCGGCTTGAAAATCTGCAGACAGAATCCTTCAAGCCCGCAGTCCAGTCCGCCGGTGGCCATCCAGAGACGAATAGCTTTGACTATCACGTCACGCCTGGACTCTCTGGCCAAAAAAAAAAAATTAGATCGAATTGTTTGGATCATCGTGTACTTGCAGCTTCTTCGGTCAAGTCAGTAATATCTCCCGTACCGTTACCTATTACCTAGTTACCCTGCGGCAGCGCACAGGCACGACGGTCATATCCGTAGCCCGCATTTCTCAAATCTCCCCCATCCGCGTTCTTCCCAGTCATCATCCGCCCGTAACCAAAGTCTCGAACTTTTCGTTCTTTTCCCTTCCTCTATCCAATCTTGTTGAACCATTTCATCATCCGAGTACATACCACCTACCTACCCTATACCTAGTGCGAATTTACCTCTTCCCGTGGTCCTGGAAGAAAATAACCACCCCTCCCCCGTTATTTTTGTAAATCAACCTGTTTCCCACGCGTGGGTGGCCCCCTACTCCTAGCCGCAGGTGAGCAAGTCCCCCGCGGAAGCTTCATTCAAGCAGCAAAAACAAGTGTGGCGTGGATAGAGAGAAGAGGAAGAGAGCAGCCTTGTTCGCGATGTCCGACATTATCTTGTCTCTCTGTGTATGGGTGCTCTCGGTCTCACTTTCTGGAATACCTGGGTTTTGACTGCCTGTCTAATCCCATCATCTCGCTTTTTGGCTTTCGCTTCATCATCGGCATCTCATCCCTTCTTCCCTTTCACTCCCCCCCCCCCTCCCCCCAATTACCTACCTACCTACCTACACTACTCCGTACTCCATCTTCATCCTCTCAATTGTGGTCGAGGTGAGGTGGTTCGAAAATCTACTGCCCTGGGCTCTGCTCTGCTCTGCTCTCTTGCTGGCCCTGACTTAGGTACTTGAAGGTGCCTTAGTTCTGCCCGGCTACTGCCCGCTCTCTCTCTTTCTGCTTGTCGTAGCCGTAGCGTGGAGCGTCCGTCAGGCCAGGCATGGAAAGTCCACAAGTACTCCCGTACCTTACCCTCCTCCTCCCACCTACTTTGCACTCCCCCACTCCCCTTGTCAGCCAGAAGTCTCACTCCCACGCTCTTCCCACTCCCATTAGCCTGCCCCCCCTTGTATCTTTTACTTACAGGGTTCTGCCGTCTACATGTACATCAACCCCTTGAGGCCTGTGTACTCCGTACTGTACCTCGTCTCGGCCAAGTACCTTTTTTTTCCCTCTTCGCTCCATTCGCAGCCCTTGTCCCTTATTCTCCTTCTCCTCCACCACTACCACTACCACACACCTCCTCTCCTCTCCTCCTTCACGCCCTGCCTCACCAAACCACCCGCTTTCTCTTCAGTTTTTTTTCCTTCTCCATTTTCTGCGCCGTGCCTTTTATTTGAACACCCGTCTTGCCTTCTGCGCCTCTTCTAACCCTCTTCCTCCCATTAGATGGCCGCTGTCTCCAAGACATCCCGACCTCCGAACCACGAGCCATTGTCAAACGAGGCCAGCTCTCAACCTCTCACACACAAAGCCAACCCCAACCCTACCAGTGCTAATCCACGATCCACCGCTACTACTACCACCACCACCACCAGCACCGGCACCACCACCACTTCCAGCACTCCTCCTCCTTCTGCTGCTGCTGCTGCTGCAACTGCCACTGCCACCACCACTACATCATCATCGACCCATCCCTACCACGCTCAACAACAACAGGCGCCCTCGGTGAACCGACCCTATTATCGCTCTCATCACCACTCGCCTTCTACCAGTTCCCTCTACAAACTTCAGCGTTCTGGTGGTATCTTCGGCTTCGCTGCTGCTGCCTTTGACAAGACCCAATCTGCACTCGCTACCTTCTCCTCGGACCAGTCTGTCCGCCAGCGCGCCTCCAGTTCCGCATTGGGCCGCGCCTCTTTGACCCCCGACTCTGCCTCCGACTACTCTGCCAATCTGGGCTCCCAAGACAAATATCCACGATATACGAGCCCCTCCAATTACTCGTCCTCTTCCAGCAGCACCCTGAACAACATAGAGGGCAAGTATCCAAGCCAGGTGTCGCTGGTACAGGATATCCCCTCTCAGCCATATAGCGAGACCGATCCGACCAGGCCCCTTCCCATTCGATTGCCGAGTATCGAAAGCAAGATGCACCAAACATCCTCGCGGCTTCTCCGCATGACGGATGATGACCGGCCGTTCACAAAGGTCAGTCCCATTTCTCCCAATTCCCGACCTGCTCGACGAGAATCGCGCATCCAGTGCCCCGGTCGCGTTCCCGGTCGCTTTGACCGAACCCCGTGGTTCACAGATGGCTAACGTGGAACAATGACAGGACTTCAAGGATCTCTACTCAACACTGATTGTCAGCCTTTTGCCTTTGTCTGCACACCGAGTACGCTTAACACGTGTGGAAAACACGTTCTTGTCCGAAGATGCGATCAACAACTTGGGATCTCTCAAATTTTCTCAATCCAACCGTATGCCCGACCCCAAAGACCCCTCAAGGATAGTCACGACGACCACAACGACGACTTTCTCCATGGCCAAGGACATGGCACGCTCCATCTGCCAAAAGTTCCTCGAAGCGAGATTCATCGAGTCGGCCGATGGAAAGTACCAACAGGTGTACAACATGAAGGGTTCCGTGTGGCAATTGACGCCCAAGGGCGTGACCGTGTTGGATCGCTTCTGCTCACGCAACGGTATCCAACAAAAGTCGATATCCGACTTGGTTGGCGCAACACTCTCGCAACTCGTCATTCTCGAGCGGGACGGCCAGACGGACAAGCTCATCACGGATCGCGGCACGATTGAGGTCATTTTCAGGAGATTCATTGGAACACACGGCCCCAATGTCAAATCGAGCGTCAGCTCAGCCGATTCGGACTCACTCAGCGACTACAAGGATGGCTTGACTGGTGTCAAGATGGCTAGCGAGCGTAAGGTGAACGGCAAGACGTACAAAGATACCTTTACTGGCAAGGCCGCCACTGATTGGTTGATGGACTGCTGCACAACCGTAGACAGGCGGGAGACGTACGACATCGCGTCCCTGTTCGTGGAGTACGACTTGATGGAGCCCGTGGTACAAGACCGTGCTCATATGGCACAATATCCCAGCAATAACCTATTCCAGCCCACAAAGCATGCCATTTACCAATTGACGGCAAAGGGCAAGGATCTGATCAACGGTCTCGGTTCGCGGGGAAGAACGTCAGAAAGCGAGGTCGTCACACCCTCTCGTAACGCTATCGCGCGAGACTCCAACACCCAACGGCTCGACAAGATTCTCAACGACGCAGCCCTTCGTCTGCTCTTCAGAGAAAACCTGCGCGAAACACATTGCGAGGAGAATCTTTCCTTTTACCTCGACGTCGACGACTTTGTTCGAAGCTGCCGGCAGGCGATTCGGATCGCGCAGAAGAACCCCAATGCGAGCTCAATGGACGGCATCAAGGAGATCATGGCCCAGGCATACGGGATTTATAACGCATTCCTCGCCCCCGGCTCTCCCTGCGAGTTGAACATTGACCATCAGCTTCGCAACAACCTGGCGACTCGAATGACCAAGGCTGTCGGACAGGATGTAGCCATGATCGATACTTTGCAAGAGGTCATGTCTTTGTTTGAAGATGCCCAGAACGCAGTTTTTAAACTGATGGCAAGCGTATGTTTATTGTTCCGACTGATGCACCGTGGAATGTGAAGATTTTATACTAACCCAACTTGTTTTTGCAGGACTCGGTTCCCAAATTCCTGAGGAGCCCCAAGTACGAACACACCCTGAAGAACTACGATTTCGACTCAGTCACCGGCGGCGGCCGCGGCTTGGAGCGAAGCACGAGCCGATCGAACCGCAAATGAACGGAATATTTGACATTACGCAACTCTGCTCCCCCAAACTCAATATGAGACGGCATTTTTTTTTTCTTGCACAATCTCATCACAACAAGACCGATCGCGTTCCTAGGATCGACTCCATCGATACTGGCACACGCAGGCCGTTTGGCAATTCTCGGCACTTTCCTCGACCCATAATCTTGTGCATACGTAGTGGATGGTCTTTGATTCATCAACGGGCGGTGGGCAAGATCTTTCGGTTTTTTCCAACAGAGTAGCCCCCAACCAGGGCTGATCTTGGCCGCCATCTTGATTATTTTGGAAATGAAGGCGTTGGGGATGGAACTATTCTTAGAGGGAGACCCCTTGAGTCGGCGAAACCGACCCTGCTTGCGCATGACCTCGCCGTCATCATCACACGCGGACTCGACTTTTTTTATTCCGTTTTTTTTTTGGTTTTTTTCTTCTCTTCTAATTTCACATTTTGTTTCAATCATAACTGGCTGGGTGGGGCGGACGATCATAGAAGGACGGCATGAAAGAGCGCAGTCTCAACCACGACCCCCGAGACGAGCTTACGGCGACGGATGAACGATTTTGTTCGTCACAAGAGTGGAGGATGAGGGCGATTTCGCTGCCAATTGGTATGCCGGAAGTGGATGTCGTGTGGACATCGCGAAGCGAGCAACTTGCTGTGGGCTAAGGGGGAGGACAAAAAGGGAGACGAGCGGTCGAGGAGCAATTCTGGCCCAACTGTACATATCTCAGAGCTCCACGAACCGAGTGGGGGCGCACAACGCTCGACCTTTTCAACTCGCCTCCGAATGAAAGGAAAGCATATGAAAGCGGTACCACAAAACTTGCCATGCCGGTGCTCGCATGCTCGTGACCCCTGTGTGATAGGAATGCTTCAATGATGAAATCTGCAGAGCTCGGAATAGGTGGGAGAAAGGAGTCGAGACAGGAAGGTGTGTTTACTCCTGGCCCCCTTCCATGTGTTTGTCAACTCATTCGTCCCATCTACCTTTGGTTTCCGTCTTTGCCGACTTTCTTCCCTCCTGGACCTGAAATGCTGGAATGCGCCACATTACCGGCGGCCGGTGGAAACATTCTTGGCAGCTCAACGGACCACAACAAACACGGGCCCGGGGCGACTCCACCAACATTCCCGGCCGCGAGTCCGGAGCTTCTCATTGGTCCCGAAGAACCAAGATTCACAACGTCCAATCTTGCCGTGTTCCAGAGAACCAGAGGCTCCTTTTTTCGAGTGGAAAAGTGGGAAGTAGTCGTCGTGTTCCTGAGACAATTTCGTTGGTTCCCGGCTTAGCATTTCCTCTCCCTTTCCTCCGTCTTGCAGGGCTAAGCCTTTTCGTCAGCTTGTCTGGGTATCGCCAACCCCTGAGCGTGCCGTTCCGGTGGATATCTTTTGATTTATTTTGGTTCTGAGTTGAACGTTTGGTGTGTTTTCATGTGTTTTCGTATCGGTATGAGATTGACATAAGAAGGAGGCTCTTGAACCGTTTTCTTGTGACACCTCTCTTTCCCTTTCATCCCTCACACACACACACATCTCACATACATCCATCCAAGAACTCTTTCGTTTGTTCGGAGGTTCCCCCCCTTTCGTTTTATTTGCTTCAATTGGCCTCAGTCACTCTCTTGAAAAGAAAATCCAAAACATTGCAACTCACTCTCCTTAACAAGAAAACCAAAAACTTCAAACAATCATTAACTAGCTCTGTTTGCTCTCCGGACAATCCCTCACGCTCCCTCGAAACTCACTCGCTCAGCAAGTAACTCGATAACCGACAACAATCAACAACTACAGCTCACACACACACACACACTTTACACCAACCAACCAACCGACAAAATGCAGATCCAATCCGCCCTCGTCTCCCTCGCCCTCGTCGCCGGCACGGCCTCGGCCTACGAGCACGTCTACACCAACGGCACCTACACCATCACCAAGGTCTGGGACGCCGTCACGACCTACTGCCCCCAGCCCACCACCCTCTGCTTCAACAACCGCACCTACACCATTGAGCAGCCCACCACCTTCATCATCCCCGACTGCCCCTGCACCCAGACCTACGTGAGTTCACCCTTTCCTCATTCTCTACCTCTGACGAAACATCCCCCCTCTTGTCCGAAGCCGTGGCTGACACGTACGCCAAAGACCACCAACCAGTGCTCCGAGTGCGCCCACGCGACCGGCTACGTCGTCCCCGCTCCGCCCGCCCAGACCGACGTGCCCCCCGCCGTCCCCACCCAGACCGGCCTCATCACCTGCCCCGGCAGCCCCAACTGCCCGCCCGGCGCCTCGGGATCCGTCCTTCCCCCTGCTCAGACCGGCTCCGCTGGCGTCGTCTGCCCCGGTAGCCCCAACTGCCCTCCCGCTGCTTCCGGCGGTGCTGGCGGTGCTGGCGGAGCCGGTGGTGCTGGTGGTGCTGCTTCCGGTGGCGCTGGTGGTGCCGGCGGTGCTGCTACCCCCAGCCAGACCGGCGCGCTCGTCTGCCCCGGCAGCCCCAACTGCCCGGCCACCGGCACCGCTGGCACCAACGGCACCAAGCCTACGACCGTCGTCGTCGCCGGCGCCGAGAAGAACGCCGCTGCTGCTGGTGTTGCTCTCGTTGCTGGTGTCGTTGCCGTTTTGGCTCTGTAAAGGGGGGGGGGGGTTGAATGCTTCGGCTTCTCTTCCCTCTTTGGTTGCAACATTCCCACCTTTTCCGTGGCTTTTTTCCTTTCCTCCTTGGAGACTAGACATGCACTATTCTTCTTCTCTCCCTCAGCCGTTTTGGTAATGGGGGGAGACTTCCACAGAAGGAGAGGGAAACTCGAAGACTCATGTGCGTTGGGGGGGGGGAGAGCATGCTGCGGAGTTGAGGGGAGTGAAGTGAAGCCAGATTCGCCTGCGCCTTCTGCACTCCTTGAAACTTTGTGCTGTTCTCTCTCTCTCTCTCTCTGTGGTATGAGTTGGAAGGTTTTGTTTTCTCCTTCTTACAATCGTCATCTCTTCCTTGCGGACGGCTTTCGAGAGAGAAAAGAAACTTTTGTAGTTCTGGAATCCACGGGTGGGTTGGAACCCCGCTCATCCAAGCTTCGGAAAAGTGTGTGGATCCAACATCATTATTGTTTCAGTGTGTGTGTTTCTTGTTTTGTTGTTCATCATCATTGTTATCACGCCCCGTCATTGTATCACGCCGATTACGCCCAGAGATGAGGATACATCTGAACCTTGCATTGGGGGAAATTAGACGAGGAAGGAGAGTGAGAGTGAGAGAGAGAGTAGAGTGGTCGGAAGAGACAGCAGTGGCATTTTTTATGGCAGTATCCCGCTAGAACCCGGGTGAAAGACTGGGGGAAAGGGGCGGGATGGACACTGCTTCAGCGGATGGAAAGGGGACGAAATGAAGGATCTCCTTTGTTAGAATCTTGTTTTATTGCTGGGTTCTGTCATAAGGGGGGGAAGGGAGGATCGAAAAGGGGTTTCGATTGGTATTATTAACCCACTTCAGCATCATTATCACCGCCATCATCATCATTATCATCCTAATCGCCTTTATATACTTTATCCTCTTTTTTTAGACTTTATAGAATTATCACTTTTGTTGTGTGTGTGTGTCATATCTGGGCCCATGATACCTCTTTTTCCGTTCAGTGAAATGTCTGTGAATTGGGATGTATTAGGTATAGCCCTCCTTGTAACCGTGTAGTGCTTTTCTCTAGAGGCCAAGCTTATGTTATATTTCTCCTCAGTAAATTCTCGGACTCAGAAAACTTGCTTACTCATTCCTGAGGTTACTTGCAAAATATTTTGGTTTAATTAATCGTGATCTTTTCTTGGGCAGTGTTGGGACAATGGGCGGTAAGTTGAGCGAGGGACGAAAAGCAAGGGCGAAGTATGGACTTTGAGGCTCTTGATCAACTTCATAATCTTTTTGCCCAGTTGTCTACGATTGTCGAGCTGAGCCTGGGTAATTAGGGACAAGGTGGATGGGCCTAAATTGAGGAATGACTCTGGTCAAGTCTTTCTCATCGCTGTCTATCATCAGTATTCGAATATGCGACTAGAGCACTATGGGCTCGATTTCAGCTACAATGAAGTCGCAATATCTGCAGGAAAGATCTCTTCTCTATCAGGCTCGAGCTTTATAGACACGATCACATTCACTTTGTACTTTGTGAATCACAGATGTTGATGGTCTGCTATCATTACGAAAGACGGACTACTCTAAAAGTATACGGTGATTGCTCCTGTACGGGCCTTTGATTTTTTTGCCTCGGTGAAATGCGACCCGTAGAGCAATCGTTGTCCTTTCCCATCATATGGCCTGAAATTGAAGAACCCCACACGTTCGTACCTGTAGGATCCTCGAAGTGCCATGTTCCCGCAGTCGTCGATGATGTAGCCCAAAGGATGCAATATCAAACCGGCAATCTCGACGCCCTCTGCGTTGACGGGAGGTTCCCTGGTACACATGATTGGTAAGATGACCACCTCCACGGGGAGTAAATCCTTCCGATAAAAGTCAAAGACGAAAGGGTTGTAGTCCAGTCGCTCCGACCTTCCATCAAGACTCAGCGAAACCCCGTCGTTGGACATGTCTGACACTTTGAGAGTATAAACGCTGCCGCTCATGCTGATATAGCCTCCGAGTGGTATGCGGCGTCCTGCGGGAGCATCGCTATGGGCGCTATGGTAGAAATGACGCGCGAGATGTAAGATGCCCTCGTCGCTGTTCACGATGGCCTTGAACGAGACCTTGCCTTGCACGGAAGCCCACGACCAAGATGGGGCGGGATGAGCAGGTCGGGGCTTCTTTTCCGCCGCAGGGTTCAAGCTCCAGCATATTTGTCGGGCGATGTGTGTGTTCCAGATACCGGAAATGTATCGACTCAAGGAGGCATTAGAAAAGATGCCGGTCATTCCATTCAAGCCCGCGAGCTTGTCCTTTTCGTAGGTCAAGCTAAAGCCCGAGTACTCCTCAACCAGGTGCTCCCAGACAGTTGCGAACGTTTCTTCATCCTCTGGCGAATCCTCTTCCTCTTGGGGGCGCGTTCTGCGTATTCGGGCGACGCCTTTCTCGCGCTCGACCACGTCGTTGTCTGGTGCCACCGGTATGCCGTCGGGCAAGCTCTCACAGGCAAGGCGCCGTCTACATTTCCAAAAGACTTGGTCTTTACCGAAGTGAAGAGTTCTTTTGGGCAGTAAGCGCTCTTGGAAGACCCAACCGCGCTTGTACAGCGGGGCTCTGTTGTAGTCGTTTAGGATGGACGTGTGATCCCAGGGGGTGTATTCGCCAGACGGGATATCCGTCCTCTCTGAGCAAATAACAAACGATTCCAAGACGGATGGGTCTCTCGCTGTCAAGAGTCCACCATCGGGTCCCTCGGAGTGTGCGGCAACGATGTTGCAGGTGGAGTTGGAGTACACGTGGTCCATTCTGGAGGACTCTTTCTTCCAATCTAATGGGCTATCCTAAAGGATGCATAGTGAGTCGATCCAGATATGACGAATATTGAAGTGATGAGCCAGCGCGATCGTATCGCGGAAGGTCTTGGGAAGACTCTTGATAGCTGTGTTGTTCTGGAATGCGGGCAGTGTGTCCGACGTGAGCTGTACGAATGGCGAAGAGCCCCAGCGGTGACTCAGCGTGAGATAACCTCCATAATTGGCAGGCAGTTGATGATGCTCGGTGGTGATGACCTTCCACCAGTGACTATCTGGGTCTCCAACATCAATGAGCCTGGAAGGTAGCCAGGTCGAATGGCTGTAGAAAACTTTGCACTCGGGATGGTTTCGGACGCAGTCATTGAGCCACTTTTGCATTGTTATGAAAGCATCATGCGAGTCCATACGTGGACTCAACCGTGCAGGTGGCTCCTCATCTAATATCTCGTCAGTCATTTCAGTAGTAGACTACCGAGTTTCGAGTCCTCGGACCGGATGCTCATCGGGGCAGTATAACTCACCGGGGCTACGCTGGAGGAGATTGAAACAAACCAAGTCATCCAGATCATCCTCTCTCCACGCGCGTCCTGTATGCTGTTCAGAACCCGCAAAGAATAATCTCACGGGATCGGGTCTTGGATGAAGAATGAGATCCTCTTTCAGAACAGTCGAAATGCTCGGATCCGCAGAGTGACGCGCAAAGCGTTTACAGAAATAACATCCCTTTTCGACTGCCTTGGCGAGATCCTCGGATGACTCGTGATGCTGATTGCGACGCCTTCGACGGAAGTCGTCGGCCTTGACTGCCTCTTTGCTGAAAGCATCCTTGCACGCGGTGCAGAGAACGGTGTCGTTTGAGTGGGTGAAGGCTGGACGGATGGATCTGACGACGTTTTGGGGGTGGGCTGTCGTCGAATTGTATAGTCCGTTTCATAGGCCCGTTTTCGGCAGATGATTGATTTGATTCTTGAACCATTTGATGATATGACTAGGTTGGTTTTCGAATAAAGTTCAACACCGATGACTGACAGAGTGTTTGTTATCTCGAATTATACATAGGTGTTGTTGATAGACACCATACGCAGACCGCCCCTTTACCCGCAGAGTCGGTCACGACTTCGCAAGGGACGCTAGGGATTGGAGGCAATTGGTATGGAAAGCAATGCCCGACTAAAAAATTGTAACAATTAAGTGCAAAAGGTGGTCTTGAATAGAAGCTGTACTTAATAGTAGTTGGAATTATCGATGGGATAAAGGAGAAGCACCGAAAGCAACTGTACCTCCACCGGAATTGAGGAGGTACAGCTCGCGGTCGTATACAGTGCGGGTGACCCGCACACCAGTGACCGGCACTGTCCCAACTTCACTGCCTGAATTCGAGGTATCCACAACTTCAACCTCACTCATTCATCAGATCAATTTCTCATCCGAGGTCTGGTGCCCGACGTTCCTCACCCAGATAAACTGAAGATTGAAACAGGAAACTCACCGTTGGAGTTCAGATCGAATTTCTGAACTTAGTGTCCTGAAATCTTCGGTATTCTCATCCCAACCACCCCGCTACAAGACATGGAATGAAAGCCCAGCCGATTGTCTACGAACCTTTCAGCCTATTTCGAAGACCGGCGGTCAGTCAACATGGATGCTCACGAAGACGATAGCGACATCAAGTTGCAAAAGGCCTCATCAGAGCTCATTGCAGAGTTCTCTCGCTCGCTTCCACTCTTCCTGCGCAAGCCTGATGGCAAGACCCTCCGCGCCCGCGTCAGGGTGTCAGAGACCTCACGTCTGACTTCAAGCGTAGATACCTCCCCCCCTGCACTGAATCTCATATCCCTCTGCATCGAAACACATTCAATACATGATTCTGACACGTCTCATAGCTCCTTGATCCATTCCAAGAACTACCTCAGCTACTGGATCCTCATCTACCAGAGTGGCTCCCCCTCCTTGCATCAACGTATCTGGAGCACCTCAACACCCGCTCCCGGGCCCGGGCCCGGCCATCGGCTTCAACCCGCTCCCAGCTCCTGGAACCCCTGAACCTCGCCATCGCCAAAATCATCTACACCTTCACCAAGATCCGCGGTGAAAAGGTTATCGTTCGCTTCCTCAACGTCGAGTCCCGCCACATCGAGCCCCTTCTCTCGGCCCTTGAAGCCTCAGAGCGCGCCTCGTCAACCGCACGCCCCGCGCTCAACCCCCTTTCTTCGCCCCAGTCATCCTCCGCAGCGGCAACATCCTCATCGGGTGCCATAGCACAATGGTCCTGGGAAGAGCGCTACCTCGTCCTCCTCTGGCTCTCACACCTCCTCCTCGCCCCTTTTGACCTCTCAACCATCTCCTCCGCCTCCGCCGACCCGGACCTCACTCTCCCCACGATCCCAGACTTCGACTGGCCCGATGACCTCCCCGGAATCACCGTCCGCATTTTACCCCTCGCTATCAAGTACCTCGCCACCTCCGGCAAAGAGCGCGATGGCGCCCGCGCCCTGCTCATCCGCATCGCCATGCGCCGCGACATGCAATCCCAAGGCGTCCTCTCCGCCCTCGTCCACTGGTCTCTCGCCTCCCTGAAACCTTCGTCATCCTCCGACGCCGCGACACCGGCACCGCCGCAGCCGCCCTACTTTTACATCGGCGTCCTCTCCTTCCTCGCCGGCGTCCTCCGCTCGTCCATAAACACCTCCGATATGGACGCCTACCTCTCGCCCATCTTCCTCACCGCGCATGCAGTCGCCTCGGCTGAAGACCCTCAGGATACCACGGCCACGGCCACATCCACCCCGTCCCTCTCAAGCGCTATCCGCTCCGTCGCCGTAGCGCGCAAGATGCTCATCAAAGTCATTCGCTCCGTCACGGTCCTCCTTCTACGCAGCAACAGGTCCCCGTCAGATCAGCAGAGCACCGACGAACTAGTCGAATTGTCCATAGGTTACCTTCTAGAATCCCTTGCCGACAACGACACCCCCGTCCGGCTGGCCGCCTCTAAAGCCCTCAGCATCGTCACCCTCAAGCTTGACCCGGACATGGCCTCTCAAGTCGTCGACGCCGTCCTGGACTCCCTCAACCGCAACGTCTTTTGGACCCGTGACCCGGGCACTCCCAAAGGGGCCTCTTCTGCCACCACCACGCGCGACCTTACAGCCGTCGACCCCCTAGAATGGCACGGCCTAATGCTCACCCTCTCCCATCTCCTCTACCGCCGCTCTCCACCCGCGTCTCAACTTCCCGCCATCGTCCACGGCCTCCTTCTCGGCCTCTCGTTCGAAAAACGCAGCACTTCGGGCGGTTCCATCGGCACAAACGTCCGCGACGCAGCCTGCTTCGGCATCTGGGCCCTCGCACGCCGCTACACCACCCCGGAACTCCTCGACGTCCCCACCGCCGCCGTCGTCGCGGCACGCAGCTATCATCGCGCCGCATCCAACGTCACCATCCTACAAGTCCTCGCCACAGAGCTCACTGTGACAGCTTCTCTCGACCCGGCAGGCAACATCCGCCGCGGCGCCTCGGCCGCCCTGCAGGAGCTTATCGGTCGGCACCCGGATACCGTCGAAAAGGGCATCTGGGTCGTGCAGGCTGTAGACTATCACACCGTCGCCCTGCGCTCGCGTGCGGTACACGACGTCGCGCTCAGCGCGACTAAGCTTTCGTCGCAGTACGGCGCCGCTCTGCTGGATGGCCTGCTCGGCTGGCGGGGCATAGGCGACGCCGATGTCGTCTCGCGGCGCGTGGCTGGCGCGTCGTTTGGTACGCTCACGCTGGAGCTCGCGCGACAAGCTGGAGCCGGGCCTTCGTCGTCTCCGTCTGGCGGGTCTGGAAACGACGACGTTGCTCAGTTCACGGCGTCCATCGAGAGGGTGCTCGCGCGCCTGCGTACGCTCCAGACGCGCCAAGTCGACGAGCGACATGGTCTCGTTCTCTGCCTCGCGTCCGTCCTGGATAAGTTCCCTGAGCTGCTTGCCGGCAAGCCGGTCGATAGCGTCACTGGAATCGCTCACCGCATCGTCCGTGAACTGGAGGTCCTCTTCAAGGAATTCCAGACGACGTCGTATCGTCGACCGGAGCTAGTCGCCGAAGCGTACAGCCGTTTAATCACTTCATCATTCCCTATCCTACAAGCTACTTCATCTCCCAAAGGCGCAATCATAAACCTAGAGCCAGGCTACAGGGTCGTCTCAACAGATAACACCGAAGATCTACTCCATGCCATCAAGACGACCGACAACGCCCAGGATACCAACATAATCCCCGACGGCGTAACGAGCTTGGTCTCGACTTTCACCCCCATCGTCAGCGCAGGCCTCGTCCGCACAGAAAAGGAAGCCGTCGCCGCGTCCTCGGAAGCAGCCCTCGTCCTCCTCGTCTTCTCCCCCGCACAAGAGCGCGCGCGCATCGTCACAGAATGGGCCGGCGCCGTGCGGCAGCGGCCCACATCGCGCGCGGCCAGCGACACGGGCGCGCTCTATGCGCTGACGATGGCGTACCCAGTCACGACTACGTTTAGCGACGGCGGCAGCAGCGTCGTCTGCGACACCATCCTCACTCGATGGGCCGGCGACAACGACATTGACACGCGCGTGGCGATCCTGCAGGCCCTCTCGCAGAGCGGTCTGCTACGGGACCAGGCGCTCGTGTTCCTCGACCTGCTGGCGGAGGGTCTGAACGATTATACGACGAACGCGAGGGGCGACGTCGGATCGCACGTCAGGTTGGAGGCGCTCAAGGCGACGAGGTCATTGTGGACTATGGCTCTTGGTGTGGATCGCTCTCATTCTGTCATCAGGGGAACCAATGATCACAAGACGGAATGGCTTGCCGCGGCGGTCTCGAAGCTGTTCCTTCGGACGCTGCGTCTAGCTGCTGAGAAGCTGGATCGCGTACGGACTGAAGCGCACGCGGTCCTTGCTCTGACTGTTGAGCCTAGGTAAGGAATACCTCCCCCCCCCCCCCCCCCCCCCCCCCCCCCTCCCCCCACAAACCCCCCCCCAACCACCCACACAACAAAAAAAAAAAAACACAACCCAAAAAAAACAAAAAACCCCCCCCCCCCCCAACAAACCACGCACCCAACCCCCCACACAGCTAAAAAACACCCCCCCCCCCCCCCCTTTCCCCCCTTAATCACCTTTGACAGTCGCCTCATGAACGGCGAAGGAACGAAAAACAAAAAGGCCCCCAACTAACAAAGTATACACACACCAGCTTCGCAACAACCTTTACAAAGCTCACCTTTTCGTCAAAAACCTACTTCCAGACCCTCCTAAGCCTCTACGCGACAGAAAACAGCCTGCAGCCGCCCATCGCGGAGCCGGCCAGGGCCGACGCGGGGGCCTGGATGGCGGAGCTGCTGGCGGGGTACGTCACGTCGGCCGACACGGGCAACGAGGACCTGGTCATCGCGTCCCGCGCGGCGCTGGCCGACTTTTGCGCCGCGTCGCCGCGGAACCTGGACGCCGTCTGCGCGGCGCTGGTGAGCAACGTCAAGACCAGGCAGACGCCGGGCCGGGGCCAGGGAGACCGCGTGGTGGTGCCGACGCTCGAGATCGCGGCGTTCCTCTGCCACGTCGGGCTCTTCCAAAAGTGTCGCGGGGTCGACCTGCGGCACCTGTGCCTGCAGGTCCAAAGGGCGGGTTACAAGACGGGCAATGTGAGGAAGCTGGAGGCTTGTATCAAGGTGTACGGCTGCGTGGCTGGGTTCGACGAGGTGTGTGCCGGTGTGACTGAGGAGGACCTCGGAAAGGAGGAGAAGGAGGAGATACTACGGGGTAAGAGACGGGACGGTATCTCAGAGGCCAGGAAGCGGCTCGGCGCGTTGATGTTTCATCCCTGGCCGAGGGTGAGGAGCCTTGTCGTCGACGAGCTGTGGAAGCTGTTTGGGGAGCAGGAGGATGAGGGTGAGCATGGCGGCGGCGGCGGCGGCGAGTCGCTCAAGAGCGTGGACTGGAGTAAAGCCGATAAAGCCTCCATCAATCGCGTCGTGGAGCAGTTTGCATTGTCTCGGGCAGCCTAGGATAGTTCAAACCATAAACCATACGCCATCATAACGATGCGAGCGTCTGGTTTTGGGTTGTGCAGAAATGCTGCGACGAGAGATGTTCTTTTTTTCGTCCCAACTACAATTTGCAACCCGTCTAGTCAGTGCCGTCTCTGCTTTGGGGAGAAGAAAGCGGTTCATCTGCCGAACTACGACGCTTTCGCGGGAGAGGAGTGCGGGAAAAGGGGGGGGGGGGGGGATTGGCGAGCTGTCACGGCAAAGACAGCTTCCCTTCCCGCTCCCGCTCAGATTGTTTTCAAGGTTCAGCTCATCCCTGGCAAAAATCCGGCCGGCAATGCAATACCTCATGTTCAAACAAACAATACCAAGTCGGGATAGAACTCAAAAGAAGAAGCTCAGATAAAAA